CTCCCTCCCTCCCTCGCTCCCTTACCTGCCGATCCTCGTCCGGGTCCTCCGGAAGAAAAGAGTCAAAGAGCGCGGTCACCCGGCTGGGATCACAGCCAGGGGCAGCAGCGGAGGAGGAGGAAGAGGAGGAGGAGGAGGAAGCCCTCCCTCGACCCCCCTTGCTCGTCGCGCCCGCGGCACCGGTGGATCTAGGGCGGGGGAGAAAGGAAGAGAACGAGGGGTGGTAGTGGTGAAATGATGGGAGGAGTCCTCTTGGGTGCTTATCATGCAGTGTATCTTCATGCGGGAGGGATGCAAGGAGGCTCAAGGGGGGAGGAAGGGGGAAGGAGGAAGGCTGGCTGGGCGTGAAAAAGACTTGACAGCGCGGAATGCCCTGCCTGCAGATTGGCCTCCTCCACATTCCTCCCCTCCTCGGTCCCAGCCCAGTCTTTGGGGATCGAATTGCCGCGCACCTTCTCATTTTTTTGGTGAGGGGTTGAATGATGGGAATGGAAGGTAGAGGGTCGGAGGAAGGGGCTGTGACTCGCTTCGCCCCCCGTCCACTTCCCCTTGGATGTAAATACACCAGTTCAACGACCGGAGAACTGCTACGGTCGATGCAAGGCCTTGCCTGCATGGAAGTGTGTGAAGTAGATGGTCAAGTTTTTGGATGTTCTTCGTGCGGGCCGACATGGCGACTCTTACACGAAGTAGGCAAAGGGTAACGCGCAACCGCCAAGGAATGATCGATGGACCAAACTAGAAGAGGGCCCCAATATCCTTGCGTCGCTTGACAAAAACCGTCACCAACACTTGCTGTCATTGCCTAGAAGCATCAAGAAGAAAGGACATCAACCAGGGGAATGGAACCGTCTTTCCCTTCTTTTCCATGCCCTTAAGTGCGTGATACCCAATACTCACGGAATTACAGGCCATGAAACAACCGTATGAGACAAGTCAATGTATTGCTAGATCAGATAGACATGTTTGTGGCTGTTTACAGGACGTATTAAAGCACTAAAAACAGGAACATTGGGAAGCCTCCCTCGTGGAAGCAGCTCGCCTTCCGACGTGCTCGCCATTCTGTCGCAGATTTGCCAGCCCCGCTCATTCACATCAAAACGTGGATCACGACTCATTCACACACAGCGGGAAAGGGAGGGTGCGACCACGAGCTGTTCTTACGAGGCAGGAGGGGCATGTTTACTCGCAAAGGCGTCTTGGTCACGTGGTAAGTTGCTCGAGCACATGGAGTTCGCAACCCGAGAAACGTGTCTCTGCGTGAGTGCAAACAGTGATACAAAGAGGAGAATCTTGCCCACTTAGCTACCCAATGTCTTCCATTTTCTCTCTTATGCCATGAGCGTCGTCCGTAGAAGCCCTACGAAAGTGGTTGATAGAGTGCGCGTGCCAAACGCCTCCCCCTCACCCTCCTCCTTCCCGATCCCTCACGCGTGTGCCCCCTGATTTCCATGCTCATGATGCAGCGATGTACCCATGAAACAACTCATTAAGCACCTCGACCCTGGGAACCGTGCCATCATTCAAGATCTAGACGAGACACACCTCTTCGTGGACGCCAATGCCGGTAGGTCCTAACCTCCCCCCTCCCTCCCCTTCCCCGTCCATTTCCTCCCTCCCTCCCCCCCCCTTCCTCCCGATTCCCAGCCTCAAAACCAATCGCTCGGCCTTTCATCGATACAGTGAGCACAATCAAACGGGAGATCGAAAGCTTCGTGGACAAGCACGTATACGCCCCTACGCCTGACGAGCAGGCTCGGAGTGGCAAGCCGGGCAGATAGAACGCTCCTACTCCCCGCCCTCCCTCCTACTCTCCGCCCTCCCTGCCAAAGCCTCTGGCATCCGGGCATGTGGAGACAGGAGGGCGCGTGCTTGAAGACGTGGCGGAGGGAAGACAGCCTGAGGGTGGGAGGTAGAGGAGGAGTGCTTCCCACACGGGACATGAAGGGGGCACATTCCGTCGTGGTGGCGCGGGCATGATGGTGGACAACCGGGGGGCCAAAGCACATACAAAAATCACATTATACATTATACACGTTATAAAGCTCAGCCCTGTGATAAATGTCTGCAAACGCTCGGAAGGAACCCTGGCATTCGAATGGCCCTTTGGCCAGTGCCTCCTTCCATCCCCATCGCGCGTCGTCCGTAGTCATCGCCCCCACAACGCTCTTTTCCCCCCGGCACTCCCGAACCTCCCTTCCCCGCACATGATCCGCTCCCAAAAGCAACAAATTCCGAGCCCGGGCATGCGCATGCCCGCCTCTTCGCAGGCACCACAACTTTTTCGTAACGGATTTCGTAACGGATATTTGAATTTTCCTTTTCTTCTAACGCCATCCTTCCCTGTTTTTGTCGCACATGAGCGTGCTTTCATTCGCGTGTGCTTATTCGTCCTCCTTCCCTCCCCGCATCATTTCCCCCACGCCACACTCCCCTCTCCCTCCCTCCTTCGCTCCTTCCCTCCCAACCTTCCCTGACACCCTCCCCCCCCATCAAATCCAGGGCGAGGAAGCAGTGAGGAAGCCAGCCTCCCCCTTTCCTTCCCTCCTTCTGTCTCTAGGAGGGGTAACCGCGAATGCCACACAGGGGACACGACAAGGGAGCAGGTCCCGGTCTGACCAACCTCCTCCACGTCATGCTACCCGGAAGTGAGGGGTCGCTTGCCAGCCTTCCCCCCCTCCCTCCTTCCCTCCCTCTCATTCCCTCGGGACCACCAGCCGCCACCGCAACTTTCTTTCCTACACGGCGCCCCCTCCGCGTACCCTCCGTCCCCATCACACGCTGGCCAGCCGTCTTCCCTATCCCCGCCTGCTCTTCTCCCGCCCTCTCTCCCGCCCAGTGCAAAGTCATACAGTAGCTTTTGTCTGTGGTCCGTGTGGCGGGTTTCCCTTGTTCATTAATATGCAGTCGTTGCCCTCCCTTTCTCTCTCCTTCCCTCCCCCCGCCTCCATCCCATATGAAAAAAAAGTAAAATGGCCCTCCCTCCC